AGCAAGATGTTGCCACAGCCCAAAAGAAGACAGGACGTTCTTAAGGGTTTAGAAACAGACCTTAAGCCCTCAGGAAAGGATCTTTCCCTGCCTCCAAATGCAGCTCAGGCTTTAATCTTTCCTCTTTAATTTTTTTTTTTTTTAAATTGGGGAAAATAGTGTGCGGATAGTTAAAAAGAAAAATGGGTCAATAGTTACTAAGGCAAAACATCAATGAATATCAGACTTCCACTGCAAAGCTCTTGATAGGTTTGTACAACTGTCAGAAATAGTACATCACAATCATACACTTAATGCTCATTGTTCTACGCAATTCTCTTTAAAAATAAACCAAAATAATCCTGCCACTCTACTTGTCACGCAACTGTAACTTGCACATTGTTCCAGAGAGGCAGGTTTAGCCTATTCAAGCCAAACAGGTTTTAACAAAATACGTTTTCAGTACAACAACTATTTCTAGATTAGGTTTGCCACAACTTAGCTTTTCGTTGTTTCTCAGGCTTTTATAGCTATAAATATATATACAAAGTTTGAGGCTATCAAACTTCAGTAGACCTGAATTATTTCCTGAAGGGCTTGTTTATTTAGATTGTTTAACAACCCTTTCCTTAAGAGTTTAGCTACAGCTGCATTGAAAAACAAGGAACTCATGCAATATTACTCAAAATGGGTGACCCTGGAGGACATTATACTGAGTGAAGTATCTCAGTCATAAAGAGACAAATACTGCATGGTGCCACTGTTGTAAAACAGGACTGCCATCGGGGTTGGGGGGCGACTGAGAAAGATGGGTTCAATAATGTATACTGCCTTGAAACAGATGGAAGGACAGAACTGTTTAAAAGGGATATGTGATTAGGTATTATTGTCATGACAGGAGTCCAGAGCGAAGGCTGCATAGTGGAGTGGACCTGGGGGAAGGGATTGTAAAACAATTAAAGAATTTTTATCTTTTATTTTTCCAAAAGGGTAGTGTACTAGGGGGGAGGGTTGGGAAGGGAGAAAAGTGCAACAATGAATGAATGGAAATTCAAAGTCTCTGTAAATTTTCACTGAAACGAATAATAAATTTAAAGAAAAAAAAGAGTTTAGGGTTCAGGAATTGTGAGGTGGGGTTTGACTTGTCTTTGCAATGAATTATCAAGTGATGGTGACGTTGCAGATTCAGGAACTACATCAGAGGCTAAACTACTAGTGCCCTAAAGCCCAAATCTTAGCTATGGAGTCGGCTCACAGGGAACCTCCTTCACTTTCCGAGGCTGTACATCTTTACAAGCGGAAACTGCGCGCGCAAACCTCTACTCTCAGGGTGAGCACGTCCCGCCTCGTACCCCCTATACACTCTGAACCAAGTCCCTCCCTCTTCCTAATGCCGCTGGCCGAAGGCGGCACAACAGCAACCTTCTCCGATTACCCAAAAAAGGGTTCCACAGTAGCCACGACCAGCGGAATAATCTCACAGCAAACCGGAACTGAGGTGGGACCAACCTGTAGCCCGCGCCCGGCGCACCTGATATGCGTCACTCCTTACAAGCCCCACCCTCCGGAGTCAGAGCGCGCGGCTCATTGGGCCCAAGGGATAACGTGAGCGGCGCGTCCTCTCGCGAAACTTTATAACTATCGCGAGACCACATAAGCCTTTTATTCTCGCGTCTTGTCTCGGGCTTAACTACTGTTCTCGCTTGGGCAGGGTGTTCATTTCATACTTGAAGCCCAGTCGCCTTGTCGTTGTCGTCGATCCCGCGGAGATTTTCCTCTCTCGCTGCCCGTGGATTCCGTCTCCTCGGTCCTTTCTCGCCGCCCCGACCTTCGCAAGGTAACATGCCGGGAGGGACGGAGGGATGGAGGGAGGAAGGCCTCGCTGGGCCTCTGCTGCTCCCGGTGGCGGCGGCCAGAAGCCGAGGTGGCAGCTGTGCTCGAGGTGCCAGGGGCGCCGGCCGGAGTGCCACGGCTCGCTCGCCGTCCCGGGTGTTGAGTGCCGAGCGGCCCCGGTACGGTTGGGGCCTCCGGGTCAGTGGCTGATCGGGGAGCCCATCGGGTGGGGTCGGGAGGCCGCCCGTCGGCCTGGGCTTTAGGGCTTCGGCTCCGCCCGGTTCCTGCCTTCGGTCTCCCTGGAAGCGGAAATCGGAGATTCTAGGTCTCAAATAATCGTCCAGGTTCCTGATTGCTTTCACTCGTTGGAGCCTGGCCAGAGTCCAGGGCTGTCGCAGGACGGGATAATTAATTTTTTTTAATTAGTAATTTATTATGGTCATTATTCATATACACAGCAGAAACATGTTCCAGTTCGAGTTTCCACCTGCTCACTTCAGAGACACTGAGTTCATTACATAAGGTGCTCTTCCACGTTCACCTTCCTTTGCCCACATGAACGCAAACACACGGCTGGTAAGATTCCTTCCTCGTCCTTCGCCTTGTCATCAGTTGGATTCCATGTAAATACACAGTGCTTACGGCAGACACCCCTCACTAGTCAAAGCAAATTATGGCTTGGTTTTAAGACTCCGATGGATATTCTTGGTTTAAGGTTTAAAGATTATAACAGAGCAATAGTTTGAGGCGTTCATCCAGGTTCCAAAGCTCCTGGACTCCGTGAGTGTTTGAAATTCCTCCTTTTGACTAGGATTCTTCTCTAGAGTCTTTGGTCAAAATGTTCAGCAGTGTTAGCAGCGAACCATCTAGTGAGACCCCGTAACTCTTTTCTCATTTATATTTATTTTGTTTTCATTGCACATTTATTTATTTATTGAGAGTTTACAAATCCTATTGGTTTTGCACATAAACCATTCACACAACATTAATTGCCACTGAATCAAGTAATTAATTACAAGGTCTAATCCACCCCTTCTTGTGCATTGCCTTTATCACCCAAGAACTTACCTATTGATTAATTTTCACTCCTTTCTCCCTCCTCTCTCATCTGTGTTATCTCTCCGAGACTGATAAGTTGTGTGAAACCTTTCTTTTTTTACAATAGTGGTCTTACATTAAATTTCTCTTGTTTGTGTCACTAACTTACATTGCTCAGCATACTTTGTTCTATATTTGTCCATACTGTGCATTAATTTACAAATTCTTGGTAGCTTTTAAGTGATACAGACTAATGCACTATCTGACTGTACCACAATTTCTTTAGCTTTGTTCACTGATGGACACTTGGACTGTTTCTATCTCTATGCTACTTTAAATAATGCTGCAGTGACCATGAATGTATGTATATATGTTAGTTGGTGTTACAGCTTTTACTTCTTTGAGATACATATCTAGTTGTGGATTGGAAGTGGTCTTTATTTGTTCCTATTTCCAAAAAGGGTGATCCAGTGGAATGTGGAAATTTTCAAACGATATCATTGCTATCACATTCAAGCAAAATAACTGCTGAAGATCATTCAAAAACGGCTGGAACAGTCCATAGGTAGGGAATTGCCAAAGTTCAAGCGGGATTTAGAAGAGGCTGTGGCACCAGGGACATCGTTGCTGATGTCAGATGAATCCTGGCTTGCCTACCCACAGGGGCGCCTGTGTTCCATAGCAGGAAGGAATCGAGAATTTTTTTCTGAGCCTTGTCCATCATTTGGCACTTCTACCTCATCTTCTGCAGATAGAGATGCTCAGGTCACTGCTCAGAGGCTGAGCCCTGTCCTCTGTTGCCCGAGGATATGAGGATAAAAAAAGTCGGGAAGCCAAAGAGCAAGGATCTAACCAGGCACCTCCTGCAGGGGGAATAGGGGGCCTTGGGACAGGAGTGGGTTGGGATCCAAAGGCCTAAACCTACAGGAGTCAGGGCAGTAATGGGAGGACAGGCCTTGCATCTCAGGAAAGACTGAAATGGGGAGGAGAGCGGAGTGAGAAGGGCCCAAGCATACAGGAGCTCTGCTAAGGGTGTGGAGCTTCCAATCGGAAAGCTGCCTGGAGGGATGCCCATTCCTCAGGGAGAGGCTGGGAGAGCTGAGGACACACTACAGTCAGGTCAGCCCTCTTGCTAACAGGGGACCTTATGTGCCTTTCTCTGCATCTGTCCAGCCCAAAGGAGACGCAGGCAAGAAGCAGGAGAGGGGGAGATGAAGGCAGATTGCACATTTACCATCTCCGTAGATTTTTACCCCTCGCTCCCTGTGTTGGGAGGCTCTGATGGCAGGGGCACTCTCCGAGTCTTTCCAAGAGAGGCCAAAGGTGAGCTCATAGTTCTACTGTCAGTTTGCAGCCATCAGGAACTGCCTCTTGGTATCTCCATAATTTTGTCATTTCAGTGTCCCTGTTGTTAGGTGCTGTCCAGACTGCTGTGACTCATAGTGACCCCTGGAAAACCACCAGCTGTAGCACGGTGCTGCCGTCTTGTTGTCACACTGTTTCCTAGGCAACCAGCGCAGGATGGAAATTTTAAGAAAGAGGAGGGTTCTCGGAAATTTCTTATAAACCACTAATAAAGGGGTAATTCATGTCTTCTGCTTGGGAGAAGGAAGAATGAGCTGGGTTTATTAAGTGACACTTTACCTTAAAATGCTTAAAGGGTAGAATTGTGGTGTTTCTAAGGAAGAAAACACATTGGCACTGTTTTAAGTGACCAGTTTGCTCTGGGGAAGAGTCTATAGATAACGTGTCTTACTACATTAGTAGCTCAGGTAGAGCTTTCAATGTGGTTAACCTAAAACCATTTGCAGTTAGCTTTGTTTAAAAAGAAAGAAAATTTCTGGCATATTTTCCAACAGAATAGGATTTTTAGAAAAATACAGTTAGAATATCCCTTTCATTCATCTGTTTTTATTTTTTTCTCTTTCTATATGGAATTTGTCTATAATCTTCAGAATCCATTGCCTTCAAGGTTGTGCTTTGACTCACAGCTTTTCTCTGAACCAAAAATGAAGGTAATGGTGGTGAATTAAGCTACGTTAATAAGGAGTTGGGAACATAACTGGTAAGAATTAATGATGGCAGACAAGTAAATGGTATTTTATGGAGGCTTTTTGTGTGCAATTTTTATGACCTTTGACTCTCCTTCCCCTCAGATGGCAGAGGATCTAGCAAAACAACTGGCAAGCTACAAAGCTCAACTCCAGCAGGTTGAAGCTGCATTATCTGGAAATGGAGAAAACGAAGACTTACTAAAATTGAGGAAAGATTTACAAGTAAGTATGGAGAGGGGACATTTGGAGTTAAAATGACTTCTTAAGGCTATTTCTTTGGTTTTGAAGTGCTTTACTGCTTACAATCCCTTGGTACCCAGAGGACTTTTTTTGGGGTGTCTTTTCCATATATACATACTTATTTATGCACTCATAGGCACACATTACTCAGAAATAGGTTGTTTCCTCAGTATGTTTATGGATACGTTAAAATGAATGGGTTACCATTCTTATGTAAATCTTGTCTATGCTTAAACTTTTAAAAATAAGTTGATTTTGGAAGCCATCCAATTTTCAGGAGAGGAGATGCATATAAATTTGTAATGGAAGCTGATTCAGTTCATTTCAGGGCCACAGTTATTTGAAAATGAAATAAATAACATTTTGCGGATCTTTCAAAGATAATGAGTTCCACTCCATTTAAAAAAAAAATTAGAACGATAAATGGAGACTACTTTTCTGTATAAACTTGACATAGTTGTTTGGACTTAAGGCCAGTTTTACGGTGTAGTTATTGACAATTAAAAATCTCTCAAAAGCATAATCTAAATATTTTTGATTTTTCATCTTGAAAATTTGAGGACTTCCTTAAAATTCTTGACCCAGTTTCTAAAACTTGAATTGGCTTTATCTTGTTGAAATTTTCTCCCACCTTTTGTCCTACACTAACTCATTAAAAGGGGAGTTCTGGTGGCCTAGTGGCAAGAAGCTTCACTGCCAGCTGTAAGATACATAGTTCAAATCTCATCAGGAGCTCCACAGAACAAAGATGGTCATTCTCCTCCTGTGTGATTTAAAGCCTCTTAAAATGAGCTGTAGGATCAGCTGTGAGTTGTTTGACTCATCAGCGTACAATAACTCAATTATTAGTATCTTTGGTAGATTGAAATTGCAGATGAAAGAAAGAAATTTGAAGTAGGGACCATGTTTGGTATTCCGTTCAGAGTTTATGTAGATATAATTGAGTTGAATAATTTCAAGTTCAAATTCTAGGTTTATGTAAAATATCCTTAAAGTGACAGCAGTTGATTTTTTTTTTTAAAACTGCCCAGGAAACAGCTGGAATAATTTCAATATGTAGAAATAAATCCTATTGATTTCAGGATGCCATTCAATAAGAAAACAGTGTTTTGAGAGACACCTGTTTCCGGGTCTTCTGTAAAAACCCAGTCATGTTGATACCTGCCCATTTATTAATAACATGTCAGTATGCATTGATGGTGAAGAGATTTGGGAGACTGACCATTTGTTTGTTTATTCTTCATAAAATAACAGGTTTCTGCTTGCCTCAGATCCCAACCAGGTGGTTCCAGCTGGAATAAAACATTGTATCCTAGCGTGTTGCCTAGGCAGTGAGGGGAGGTTTTTGTGAAACTGGCAGGAGAGTTAGCAGAGGTTGAAAATAGAAGACCTTTTTAATTTAATGTTCCTCGGATAAATCATCATTAGAATCTGGTGAAAAATTTTGATAGACATTATAGTAAGCATATAAGTAAAATGACTTACCTGAGCTTAAAAAGCTGGGAGTCATTTCAGAAACCACTTAAAGAAGTGCTGTCCAGCAAAAAAAATCCAGTGATATGGTGGAAGATTAGGTTTGTACTGTGCAACCCCCCAGCCACATCTGTTTGTGGCTGTTGAATATTTGAAGTGTGGCTAGTGTGATTGAGGGAACTGGAGTTAAAATGGAGGGCTGTATCCTAACTTAAGTCCTAACTTTTCAGATAGTAATGTAGAATGTCTTATTGACTGATCTTGATCATGCTTTCTTTCTCTTTTATTCTGTCCTGGGGGAAAGTTAATTTGCTTACTAAATACAGATCTGTTTGAAGTAAAAGTACTCGCAGTGGAAGCCATCTTTTGTCTAGGTGAGATGGACATTGCCACAGGCTCTTCTTGCTTTCTCTTTTCTGATTTCTGTGGAGTAACTTTGTCCATGCCTGTCAAAGAGAAACCTGTGAGAATTGGAACACAGCTGGACTGCCTCCTTTTTCTGAAACTTGCAAATTTTCTGCCTTTGACCACTTTTTATTGTTTTACTTAAGTGGAAAAGATTTTTCTTCTTTGACAGTTTTTTACATTAAGCAGGTTCCAGCTTTCACAGTTTTACTGTATTTAACTCTTCCCCTAATACTTGAAAAGTCTGTTTCATTCTTCCCGTTTAGACTTAGTGGCCTCATTATTTTCATGTGTTTTTGACAATATGGTTTCTGCTTGCTTTTGTTTCTCCTAAAGGATCATATTCTGGTTGCACATGTATTTGCTCTTTATTTTCTTTCTCTACATTTTTCTCATTGACTTTCTTTTTCCTGTCAGTACTATCTTTTTAGAAGAATAAGGGTTACTCAGCAGGAGCACATCAGTCTCCTGAAAGCTAAACTGCCTTCCCCCCCCCACGCCCCCAAAAGAAAGAAAAATTAGTAAAATCCAAACCAACTGGCTGCCCAGGCAGGCTTGATAATCACAAGAATGGTCATTATATTAGGCTGTTTTGCTGACTAAACTGGTTCTAAAGGAGGCAGGGGTCAAGTCACTTGTCTCATATATTACAGTGGCTCTCTGCATCCCCGAAACGCCTTCCTTCAGTAAGCAGAGTGCTTGGGTGCACCCCCTTTGACCTGCTGATATGTAGATCACAACTCCTGATGCTTCCTGGAATTGCCGATTACTGTAACTGCTGCCCATCTGTCAAGGAGCAGTTTCAGAGCTCAGACTTGGGGGAGGAAAAGTAATTAATGGTATGTACCTTCAAGAACCCCCTCATACATAAAATAGTTCCTCTTTCTAATACTATGGTCCATGTGCACACCTGGAGAAAAATGTTCAGAAGATTATCTTAGTTTGCTGTAGAGGGGAGGTTTATAAGAAAATGGCCAACCTTACTGGATGCTATGAATAACTGCTATAAATGATAAAAAAAAGTAGGATCGTTTTGGTACTGTGCTCTGAAATAATTTATAATGTGCACAGCTTTTTGGGGTCCTTTTCTTTAATGAAATATGTTTTCCTTTTTGGACAAATACAGTGAAAACCTGTCCTAAGACAAACAGAATTTATAAAACTGGCGTAGATAAAATTCATGTTTGCTTTAATGGCTCAGTGATCTGTAGCACCTAGTGTATGTGTATACGTTATACCACATGATATGTAATTATGAAGGCTTTTGAGTAAGGTTGGTTGTTAATGCCGTTGGGTCAAGCACGACTCATAGCGACCCAATGAACCTGACTTTGAAAACAAAACTGGATCATTTACTCTCTTTGTATAGCATTTGCTCTAGTTGCTATTTTTGGTTTTGCAAAGAATTTTCTAATTAGAAGCCATTTGAATGGCCACTTCCAGTGATAAAACATCACCAGAAATTTACTAAATTCTTAAATCTGCATCTTCTAGTTAATACATTTGGGGTTTGGATTTTTAATTCATGAAACTAGCCTTTTCTCCAAAAACTTAAGGTTTTTTTCCCCTTCCTATCCCCTTTTGTTTGTGTTTTGTTTTGTTTTTTTAAAAAAAAAAGCTTGGGGGTTTCCCCCCGCAGAATTTGTAGGAGAGAAGTCATGTTTAACTTGCTTGCCTACCAAGCAGGAAAACTTTGATGGGAGTCAGGAGAAACTCAGAACAGAATTTAACTCTGGGAACTTTACTTCCCTAAATAAGCTGTATGGCCTTTGAGGTGCATTGTGTATAGTGTTTTGGTATGGATGCAAACTTTGTATCACTTAAGTGGTTGTTTTTTTAATTAGCATTAAATACCTTTGAATTAAAACAGTAAGTGTAACTTTGAAGTAGAAAAGTCTTGTCACATAAGAGGCATTGCCTGCCTATTTGTTAAACTTTATATTTTTCTTTCTAAATGAAGCTGTCTTTTAAAATACATGAAATATATTTAAAGATTAAGAAATTGGAGTATTTTAAATCTGCTCTAATCACTTAGTAAAACTTAGCAAACAAAAAATTACTGGTTTCTTTAAGATGTATTTTAGTACAAATCTGTGTGAACAGGTATATTATTGCTATTATTGGTGATGCCTCAAGTGTGTGTTGTTTTGGGGGGAGTGAAGAGTGGGCTAGGCCTTTACTCTTACTATCAGGCAATCACATGCATAGCAGGGCAGTTGTCTGAAACATGGCATTAATCAATGTGGTCTTAAACTTAGTTCAGTTTGTCACATTTGACCTCATTTTTCATCTTTATAGAGAGTGAGCGCATAGAACAAAGTTTAAGAATCCCATTTGTGTTTAATTAAATTGAAAGGCTATATTTTAGTTAGGAGCACAGACTAGAGACAAGACTGTTTTAATCCCTGTTCTGCCACTAACTAGTGGTATGAAATACTGAAAGTTAGTTTGTGTAAAGGAACAGTCACAGTGTCTACTTGATAGTGACAGTAGGGACTCTATATGGATTGCTATGTATAAAGCATTTTCTAGATGTTGTCTCGTATGAGAGCTGATGTCATAAAAAACAAAGAATTCACTTACAAGTTGTTCATAAGGTGGATTATGAAAATAACGTCTTATAATGTGTTTTGTTTTTCTTTTTCAGGAAGTTATAGAATTAACCAAAGACCTTCTTTCAACTCAACCTTCTGAAACTCTTACAAGTTCAGACAGTTTTGCTTCTACACAGCCCACTCATTCATGGAAAGTAGGCGACAAGTGTATGGCAATCTGGAGTGAAGATGGACAGTAAGTGTAGAAAAAAACCCCTCTAACTATAAGTGAAATAATAAAATACAGTGGTAAGATGCTTTATTCAGTGTGAGCTACCCTGTTTTAACTTTCTTTGGGAAGCTCTGGTGGCCTTGTAAGTAAGGAGCTGTACTGCCACAGGCAGGCCGTTTTCATCCACCAGCTGCTCTGCTGGAGAAAGATAGGCAGTCTCCTGATTTTTCTGAGGCTCTGAAAATCACTGGAGAGTCAGCTGTGGGTTGGTTCCATCTCGGCAGCAATGAACAGAAACATACACACATGCACATAACTAATAAGATTTCTGTACATTTGATTCTGGAGTGGTTAGTAATTTTTACCTGCAAATTAAATTTGGATTGAAAAATGGGCTTTTCTAAAACAAGAAAAAGGAAAATGAATGGTTGTTTTCCAAAAGAAATCCATATTCTTCTCAAACGGAAAACTTAAATTGTCTCAGACATCTGTGATGCACATACACTAATTTCTGTAAGAAACACCTCTTCTCCCCAAGCATTACAGCACACTCTGTGAGAGACTTTCCTGGCAGTATTTTCGTTAGAACTTTCATTTTTGTAAATGGGTAACTCCAGCTATTATTGGATCATCTTTGCCAAAAAGGCTATTTGATTACAGATGCTTCATGTTAGACACATGTAGTAATTGAATCTCTACAATGTAAGTCTTAAAGGTTGAGTACAAAACCTTTACTCACCTGCTTACAGCCATGATATCTTTGCAGGTGTTATGAAGCGGAGATCGAGGAGATCGATGAAGAGAACGGCACGGCTGCAATCACCTTTGCTGGCTACGGCAATGCTGAAGTGACCCCACTCCTGAATCTCAAGCCTGTGGAAGAAGGAAGGAAAGCGAAGGAGGACAGCGGCAACAAGCCCATGTCAAAGTGAGTGACCCTGACTGGTGTTTAACTCTTCTTCATTTAGATAGTTAGTGTAGTCTACAGAGAGAATTCATGCAGGCAGAGACCATTTACTGCTCTTTTGCAGATTTGATGGTGACATAAAGTGAGTGTCGTCCGAGTATGTATGCCTAGGTGAAGTGATGACGTTTTAGTTCACGTTTAGATGTTGAATAGCAAGCTCTGGTGGCCTAGTTAGTGGGGTGTTGTGCTGCCAGCTCACAGGCACGCCAGCGTTTCAAGTCCTCCAGCTGCTTCGCGGCATTAGATGGGCAGTCTCCACTCACGCAGGTTACAGCCTCTGAATACCCCCTGGAGGGTCGTCTCTGAGTCTCTTCTGACTGAATGGCAAGGAGTTTTTGAGCAGACATTAAACAAAGAAATACTTGGCAAAGTCCTAGGGAGTTGCAAACAGTTCACACGAAGATAGTTAACTAACCGAAAGGTTAGTGAATTGAGTCCACCTAGAGAAATCATCACCTGATGCTAAGTAAAAGTCAGCCCTTAAAGCCCCTAAGGAGCCGGTACTACTCTTGACACACAGACTGTATGGTTGGAATCTACGCTGTGACAAACTCTTTTTTTTTAAAATGGACCTGACTCAGATTCAGATGTTGGTGTCACATAAATGCACAAATAAATAAACATACAACAAAAATATAGAAGTAGTGAAGGGAACATAACAAGGGGAGGAATAGGTCAGATGAAAGGCAATATATGGCATATTGATTTATGTATTTGGGCTTAAATTCTGTCTCTTACAGGCTGTTCAAACTCTTCAGTTTTCTCCCCAAAAGTTGGAAACATAATTGTATGTATTTTAGAGGGTTGTGAGGATTAAATAATAGCATTAATAAGATCTACGGCACAATTCTCATCATTGCAGTAAGAACTCAGTGTATCTTTACTCTGAAAGAAAAGTGATGGGATCTTAAGAGATGATGGACTTAACTCATGGCAGAAACTTGAGGATTTGGAGGTATTTTGACAAGAAAAGATGTTTAAAGAGATAGAAACCAGGTCATAGGGAGCTCACAAGCCATGGGAATCTTTTAAATAGAGGGAATGAAGATGTGATGTACACTTGACATTTAAAATAGTCATTGGCCCTATAGAAAAGGTAGCTACTGCCATGATCCACAGACAAGATGATCACAACATAGGGAAGTGACAGCAAAGATAAAAACAAACAGTTGTGAAAAGTATTTTGACCTCTGTGTAAAAAGCTACGCTTAACTTCATAATGGGATTATAGGTTCCAGGAGAGTCTAGCTTTTATTGCTTCTCCTGAAGGCCTTCCTCGTTATACTATGAACGTTTGTGACTCTGACCTTAATTTAGAATAAAGGGGTTTTTGTTTTTGGGTTTTGGGGTGTTTTTTAAAAAAAAAAAAACACAAAACACAAACCTAGATGTTTCTATTAACTTTATAAGGTTATTAGCAATGATTTCTCTTTGTACTACTGTTCTAATATGAGCGAAATGGCATAGCTGCATGGGATTTCTTTATATATATTTACAGAAATACTTTTCTCCCTCCCCTAAATATATTTCTTTATCCCCCATCCCCCATGCTACTTATTAAACTGTCTAGTTGGAAATTTATAAAAGTTCAAATGACAATTTGTTGGAATTTTTACTTCTAAAACATAACTGGCAAAAGTTAAAACAGACTCTCTTATCTCATTGCTGTAGGTAATAGTTTTATGTTTGGAGCTTTGAAGCATATATCTACCTTTACTTTAGCAAAAAAGAAAAAAACACTTAGTAGTCCTGGGTGATTGGTATTAGTGCTGATGAGTTAACTGCTTTTATTCATGCAAAGAATATATAAGTTTATTCAGTTTATTTTTGCGTTGCTTAACTTCTGACCTACTGGAATTTTATCTCTCTTACAGAAAAGAAATGCTTGCCCAGCAACGTGAATATAAAAAGAAGAAAGCTTTGAAAAAAGCACAGAGAATAAAAGAACTTGAGCAAGAAAGAGAGGACCAGAAGGTGAAATGGCAACAGTTCAATAACAGAGCCTATTCTAAAAACAAAAAAGGCCAGGTTAGTAAATACTTTCAATCATATTCTATAAATTTGAAAAATGCAGCTGTCATTATTATGACTGAAAATATGATTAATATGACTGAAAGGTAATACATGGTAAATTACCTTAAAATAATTAGACTGTTGAAGTAAGAATTTAATTTTTGGTTTCATTTATTGGGAAATAGTCTATTAGTCACATGTCTGTATTATAAACATTTTGCATTTACATGAGAAATTACAGAAGTCTTTTAATAAACTAAAATTTGAAAATGATTTACTACCTACCTCTTACTTAGAGGCAGTTTACAGAATACTACCTGCTTGGTTAATGCGTCTAATGCTAACCAGCACTGGCAGAGCTCCGTTTTTTTTCAAAGAGCCCTGATTGGATTTCCTTGGCATACTTTTCTAAGTTATGTTGGGTAGAAAATAAGCCGTAGCATGCATGCATTCATTCATTCATTCAGATTCTGGCTTTCGCCCATGTTCTAGTTCTCATGCTGTTGAGGTAGCCCTTCCACTGATGGACATGATTCTGAGAAGCAGGACTTTATTTTCATGAAGATGTTTCTTTTATGAATAATGAGTAACAAAGGCTCAGGGACGTCACAGTGTAGACATGCTTATAGGCCCCATAGTGTAGACTTCATTTAGTGCCGCCAGGGTTCTTGTCATAGTAAAATGGATAATCATGGGTAAAATGCCTAAAATTAGCAGTTGGTCTACAAAGTTAAAATATTGACATAACTGAAAGCAAATGTTTGAAGTATTAATAGTGTTTAGAAATAATTTCTAAAAGTGAATGACTTGATCCTGGGACAAAACTCATACCCCTATGGCTCAACTTGCAGCCATGCTGTAGGTCTGTAAGGTACCCAGCACCAGCAGTGAGGCACTCAAGCCTTACACACTACCTGAGCATACTGGGTCCACAGATGAACATTTGCCCAAGGAGAAAACATGCAGGGAAAAATGGTAGGCTAGAATTAACAGAAAGGAGAATGGTAAGGCAGAAGTGAGAAAATTTCTATTATGTTGTGGGTATTAATGGTATTTTTTCTTAAAATATGATTGAATAAAAAAGTATGCTTTAAATGTTCACTGAAATAATAAATTGAAAGGCTTTTCAGCATGGTTTCCAGTTTCAGTACTTTTTATAATGAACAAAGCATTGCACTATTTGTTTTAATGTTGAAACGAGAGTGTTTACTGTTACTAAAATAGAATATTCTGGGGGATTTGCTGTGGTTTTTCTTTTCATCCTGAAATAATTAGCGTGATTTCTGTTTTCTCTCCATAGGTAAAGAGGAGTATTTTTGCTTCACCTGAGAGCGTAACTGGCAAGGTTGGAGTAGGAACGTGTGGAATTGCTGATAAACCTATGACCCAATACCAGGATACCTCTAAATACAACGTCAGGCATTTGATGCCTCAGTAATCAGAAAAACTGCTGGATTTCATCTCTGCAGGGCTTAACCTTTTTATCCTTATATTTTTCTAAAGGTAAATTATTTGTTAAGGTGAATAAGGAAGAGTATTATTGTCATTGACTTCAATAGAATGAAACTTGAAGAAGTTTCACTACGACTACCAGAGTTCCCTTAATCGGTTGAATAAAGTGACTTTTCTAGATAGATGCTGCTTAAATACAGCACCTAGATGAACTGTTGATCTTCCTAATGTCAATGTCAAAGATGTGTTTAACATAACATGGACTTTTCTGAAGCCTTGAACCTGGCACATTCTAGCTGTTCATTGGAAACATCAAGGTGTGTGTAAACATCTACTCACTGAAGAGATCTATTTTTGCCCTTAACCTTCAACTTAAACCTAGCTCTTCTTTAATTAAGCCTAAATATGCAGGCTGATTTGTAAATGCTATTATTTGTTTTGAGGTATTCCTTCAATAACTTAGTTTATAAATCTATCACGACATCTAAAATTGATTCAACTCATTCATGAGTTTGATGTAAGAAACCATGTTTAGGACCATCTGTCTTTTCCAAGTTACTTTTAGTTCCCCCCGCCCCTTTGTACATTTGCTTTTTGCTGTGTTAATTTTTCACTCGTTGTAGTGGTACTTTTTTTGGATGCATAACATTTATATGCGAAAACAAAAAGTAATGTATAGCCCTGTATACAGTGTAGATACTATTTTTGTAAAAAAAATAAAAATAAAAATACCCCCAAAAAACCAAGGCTAAATTAATGAACAAGAGTACTGAATGTTTTCACCATTAAAAATCTACTGTATTTCTTGTGCATTAATATGATTTCCTTGTGTATTATGTTCATGTAGCTGAGTTTTTAATTTTTGTTAACTAGATCAAGTTGTTAGCATTTACTGATGTACATGAACATCACAGTTCTCCTGAGTTAAATTTCAGCCAAATACATGTATAGAAAAAGATCTTAATGGAAGATGGACATTTTTAGAATGTGTGTTAATTTACGTTTTGTATTTTTAACTTTTATTAAAGTCCTTTTAAAATCCAAGGTGTGTTAGCCAAAGGTTGAACTCTTCAGCTGTCAGAGTTGGTGATTAAGCTACTATGTACGTAAACATCAGTGCTACAGGAAGTGAGTGTGTGATAAACGTTTCGCTCAATCCCTGAGTGTTCCTTCCATCAGAATTAAGAAATAAGACTACTAAAAAAAAAAGAAATAGACTACTAAAATACAAATCCCTTATATTTTTCTTAACTTAGTAAAATACAAATCCCATTTAAGGACTTTTCTGTGTATTGGGGTGTTTGTAAATTTTTGATGGAAAAAGCAAATTGTTAGAAGCCATCAAGTATGACTCAGAATCCCTATGAACATAATTTTTTAATAAGAAAGTTGGCGGAGTGAAACTGATGTGAATTAGAATTCTCTGTGTATCCCTGATACCTCCCTCTGTCTCACTGGTTTTTGCCTCTTCATGACCACAGGGTAGAACCTGTAGGACAGAAAGTTGACATTAAGTTTTCAAACCCTTAACCTGCAAACTTTAAAGCATATTTCCATTACCATTGTAAAAAGCACTTACATAGACCACCAATCAATAGTAGCCTTAGAAGGAGTCTTTTTCATTAAATAGCACAGGAAATAAATCTCTTGGATTTGTTGTATGACCACACCAAATAGGTTTTGATGAGCTCACCTTGGCACGGTTGGGATAATAGTTTAGCTGGTGTTTACAGAGCAAGGCTAGTGTAGATGAACTGTGGGCCTTCATTTCTGCACCTCAGCTTCTCCAGAAGGAAGAGAGAAGGAATAAAAAAGTTTTAAAATTAGTGACTCTCTAGCTTAAAATCGTAAGCCTTTCTTTCAAAGGCTTAGATGTGGCCTTTTAGAAAATCTCCCTGCATCAGGATGCTGCTGGTGTCTGGACTGTAAATGTGAGGACACTTGAGAAAATAGTATTTGTCACCAGGCTGAATTTGAGATGTTTCATGAACTGCATTTCGAAAAACATTTTAACTACAAGTGAAAGTGATGTCCATTAAAACCAGATATCCTTGATGACCTTAAGCTTTTTAACAAAATTTTGGTCTATCTGTGTCAAGAACAGGTAGTGAAAGCTCAAGAGATGGACTGAAATGTATTGATACAAGGCCCCAAATTTTGATGGCTGGTTCCCTTTATTTTCACCATCAAGGGAAGAACCCAGAATGTTTATTTTAGTAATTACAAATGTTCTTTGAATGAACAGCCAGGATGACTGCCTTGGGTTTTTTTTTTTGGCTGTTGAATAGAAATACTCATCCCATAGGTTGAAAAGATTTCACAGAGGAGCCTGGTGGCATCGCTCCCTCCATTTTGGGCCGCTAACAAGAGTCAGCTGTTGGAATCCACCAGCTGTTCTGCAGCACAACAGGCGCTCTCCCTGGTAAAGAGCGATGGTTTTCAGAAGCCCACGGAGGGCTGCTAGGAATCAGAATTACAGGATGGTCCCATCATTGCTTAGGATTTCAGTTCCCAGTTAGGCTAGGTTTCCATATGTTATCGTTCAGAACAAGGAGGGGTGCAAGTTATAAAATCACCACAGTGCTTGTTTGGGGGGGGGACCTCTGGTGCAGATGTGCTGATCCAAGACTATTCCATTTTGCCACTTTGACTTCACCGGTGGCGGTCGGTCTTCCCGTGATTTGGCATCTTGGAATCCCAGTGGAGGCTCACTCATGACTACGTTTTGACTGGATGTCAAGGAGTTTTGAATGTTGAAAAAAAAATTATTTCCTGTGTCTAGATCCTACCCGAGACCTATCCCAAGCCAAGGCATTTTTCTCCTTTTAGCAGCCACTACCAGTGATTCTGATGTGCATACCTGGCGAAGGTCCAGTGTAAACAGCAGTTTGATTTTTCAAATGGTCTTGTCTTTAGCTCGAAGATTAACTGCTTCCGTTTAAAACTCATTTTTATAGGTGCTTGGTTTTCACTGCAATCCCAGAGGTACACAGTTTGAATCCACCAGATGCTCTTTAAAACAGGGCAAAAATAGCAAGGAGAACCCAACAGGTGAGGTAAAGGAAAAGGCTGGATTTGCAAGTCGTTCAGCATGTCTACAAGTAATTTAAGAAGGGATGTTCTGTAAGGTATTTTTAAAGTTTTTACTTTTTTGCCTCCCATTTGTATGCTAATGGAAAGAAAAGGAAACCTATTAAAACAATGTCCTTAGAAGGGCCAGAAATCCAGTCAGCATCTACTAAATCAGTGAATATATTCCAAAGCAACCAATTAGTATCAGTGGCAATTTTTATGTTCAGCAGGACATAGAAACATTCTTTGTATTTAGGATTTTACAGTTGTAAGTTAAAACTTTAATTTTTACTGCAGTGGAGAGAAAATCATAGTAGACAAGTAACAGGTGATGACATAATCATTTATCTCAGCTCTGCTCCTGTAAGAAATTTAAGAGGTGCAGAAATCAATTCTGTAGTTAAGACATTTGAAGAATTTTTTCATTTAACCAAGGAAATAAAATGAGGGTGTTAGGTTTGTGAAGATTTGCCTTTTTAGTTTGTCTAGAGAAGTAAAGATTGCCAGGTGGAACTATTTGAAAAAAGACCACATTTTGGATACAAATCATCTTTCCACTCTCTGGCAGTAAAAACTGGCAACTGATTTCCCTCTAACACACCTTGCCAGTTCTTTTTTAGGAAACCAGTACAGACCACGAACACTAAGTTATCATTTCTTCCATTTGGTTATTTGTGTAACATCAAGCATAGCTACTAAAGGGGAGACATTAATACTCGTCGTTACTTAAGGCCCAAACTGATGGTTATTTTGTTGGTTTGTGATTTTCCTTCCTCAGTGAAACTGATGTGTATGTTTTTCCCAGTTCAAGCCCTGGGTTTGACCTTAGCGCGATGCAGTGAATTTCTGACCAAAGCAAAGAATTGAGGCTTGGAGGAAACACTGGCTCCACATGCCACTAGAGTTGATGACTGTGGTTGACAACTAGCCTAGACGTTAAGATGCCAACTGCCCACTTTCTCATTACTAAGCAGCTGTAGGAACTGAGGCCCAAGAAGCCTTGTCATTCTTTTGCCTGGAGTTTTTTCCCCCCTCAAAAAAAGGACCTTACTGAGCTTTCAGGGGTAGTTCAGTAAAGATGTCCATTTACAGTTGACTTCTTCGATAATACTGTGTACATTTTCAATATTTTGTGGCTCTGTGTTTAATGTTTATTCATGAATACTATTTTTTAAGATCTAAAATAAAATGTTAATGATTACACTAGCATTAAAGACTTAGAAGCATTTTTTTTAAGAGCTGAGAAAAAGGAACATACTCCAGAATTGCAGGTACTTGGCAGTATTTTAAAAGAACTTCATTTTAACCATTTCCCATTAATAATCTGGGACTTCACAGAAAGGTATAAGCAGAAACATACAGTTGTAGCTAGTACATACATTTGGAAGTATTCTCTGGCATATTCCACAAGAAAATCAGTTTTTTATTTAGATCTGGTACATGGGCCAAGAATTCTTAGCTTTTTGCTTTTTTCCTGGCAAGGCCAACACCAAATATTAAAACTAGGGCACTTAACTGTTATGCAATGCTTACTAACTGTGATATGGCCCCAAGTGCAAGTCCTTCTTTAGCAAGATCAAGCAATCAGTAAAACTGGTGCTTTTCCAGTCTTCTTCCAAAGCCTTTAAAGAGTCTCACTGCCATCAAGTTGATTACAACTCAGTGGCCCATTATCAGGTTTCTGGGGCTGTAAATCTTAGGGGAAGAGACAGCCCTTACCCCTGCAGCATTCTGGGGGATGTGAATTGCCAGAGACCCCAGGTCTGGAGGTTGGCTGCTAAAGCCACAAAGTAAACCACTAGAATGTTCACATTTTTGTTTCAAGAGTTACATGACATTGTAGGCTATTTTTAAGGGCAATAGCACAATTTAAATTGGATTAAAACCTTTGTTCACACTTAAAGCTGGCTTTGTATGTTGTCTGGGTAAGTGGTTTGGGAATTTCAGGTGGAAGGATAACACAAAAATGGGGAAATGCCAGTGATTTTAAATAAAAGAATGTAAACACATAAATAGAAAAAAAAAACCTTTCAAGAAGTTAAACATTTTCTTGTGCAAAATGTGGCCAGAAATAATGAGACTAACACTAGGGGCTTTACAGTTGTGCTATTGGGTTAGAAAAGGCATTTTGTAGAATCCTCACTCGAACCAGATCACAATAGCTTTTATCACCTTTCTCTGGTGGCACAGTAATTAAGCACCCACCAGGGTTCATCAGCGTAAGGTCATTATAGGCATTTACATATCAGGTATCCTAAGCTGTACATAGTAAGAGGAGGAGACTGCCCGTTCTCCCTTGTAGCTGTCAGTGGATTCTAACTTTCAGAGTGGTGTAGCCTTTGGTTAACAGCACAACTCCATACCTTAATGGAAACTTAAGAACTGAAAATCATTTGGGTTAGAGTAACAATAACTCCCTGCTAGTTGAATAAAGCTGTCCTGCAGGGTTTCTGAGGCTGTAAATCTTAAACCTACTGTTGTACCAGATAGTCCATAAAATGTTATTTGAGGAACAAAATGATGAATGGCTTTGTGTAACTTGGAGCACTTTTAACAGTTGTGGTGCTGGAGAAGAGTGTTGAACATAGGTCCTGGACTATCCAGTAACAAACGTGTCTGTCTTGCAGAGGATAAAACCAGGCTGCTCTATGGAGGCAAGGATTTTGAGGCTCTGTCTCACTTTGGGCAAGTGCCCTGGAGGGACCAGTCCTCGGAGAGGGGCAGCATGAGAGAGGAAGACCCTCGATGAAATGGATTGAACTGACTCAGTGACTGGAGAAATGGGATTAGGTCTGTGTTAAGATGAGATTGGCTCAGGATAGGGAGGGAAGGTTTCAGAGCTGGGATACACAGTCACTTGTATGACTTGATGGCATACATAGGAGATTTATCAGTGGACACCTGTTTCAATTGTACAACAGAAAACAAATGATGAAACTACCGTGCACTCCTGACTGCTGACAGACTGCCAAGATACACAGGTACGTGTAAGGAGCCTCTCAAAGGTAGGGATGTTCACCCATGATGTGTAAGGAGCCTCTCAAAGGTAGGGATGTTCACCCATGACGTGTAAGGTAGCCTCTCAAAGGTAGGGATGTTCACCCATGACGTGTAAGGAGCCTCTCAAAGGTGGGATCCTCATCCATAACCTTCCTTCATAGAAAAGGATGGCACATGGCGAGAGTAAGACCTTCACCCAAGTAGACACAGTGGGCTTGATTGGTCGAGATGATGATGATGGCTGTTCCGCTTAGTTGATGGGATCACTAGGAGCTGAGTTGACTCAAAGGCACCTAACACACACATTCTTCATTCACAACTTTTTATTTCTTGTGGTTAATTTTGTATATTCAAGTTTGATTTTCTTTTTAAAAAAGAATACTCTTTTCTATACTCTTCCCTCCCTGAGAACAGGGTAGACCCAGGGGAGAAGTACCTGAGGGGGCAGCGGAAATGCACACTGTCGGTTTGGAACCCCCATCTTAAACGGCAGCACCTCAAGTTCACCTGAATGAAGTCCCAGATTTCAGTGCTAGGCAAAAGGATGCACATGAATGTCATGGGAGTCATAAAATAGAAGGCTGGTTATCAGCTTCCATTTCCTCTCCACCAGAGAGTCTTCAAGTCTCATTTGGGAAAGGAAAAATTTCAGTAAAATTCTACAAAGTAGCATCATGACTTGGCTGGGAGTAACCATAAATGAAACCAGAAATCAATTACCTGGGCCGAAAAAATTTAGTTTGTCTTTTTTTTTTTTTCCATTAAGTCTCCAGCACCTCAAGTAGCAGGTTTTAATAATAGATTTTTAGAGGCATGCAGTTTTCACACACATCTACCTCAGAATCTGCCACTCAAACAGTACAAATCAAGGATAAAATATTTCTGGAGGCACAGGAAGAACACAAGAACAAGTATATGCTCAGACTTCATACACAGAAGCAGTGAATGCTGTTCAAGTGCTACTTTTTACAAAGCATAGTCTCACATTAACACACAACTCAACTGCACTGCTAAATATGGTTGTCTTTATTTTCTTCTTCCTTGCCCAGCCCTATCTAAAACATAAAATAGAACTACAGGACCGAAATTAACAACCCATTAAAAACAGCAATAAGTTATGAAAATCATAAAGCTTTTTTTTTCCTTTTTTGTTTTTTAAAGTAATTAAGGGTAGTTAAATTACTTAAAGTATACAAAGTTCAAACAGCCAGGGGGTGAGGTCTCCAGAAGGCTTGGGGGGGGGTGGGGATTAGGGCAAAGAACCAGAGAGGAACCTGGGAGTTGAGAAGACACAGGAAGCACACGACATCAAAGTGCAGGCTAGAAACTTCACGTTAAAATAACATTTCTGAAAATATCTGTAAGAGCGACATTAGGACCTGCACGGTAGGACTGTGAGGAAGGAGAGAGACTGCCTGTAGGAAAACGGGAGGAGATCCTGACACTAAAATGAGACAAGTGCTGAACTTAACTATGTTAACTACGATAGTCTACTAGAGATACCAGATGGTTAAAAGCTGATAAAGGGTAATGATTCTAAAGAAAACAAAAACATTAGCATTGACCTTTCCTCTACCTAACCCAGACCTCATTCATACTGTGCACTATAAAGAGTGAGGTGTGAGGTGTTTTATATTATCAAATGCTGCATCAAAATAGATGAATTTTTT